GTATGTATATATCTATTCTTATATATATATTTATATATACATATATATATACATACATATATATATTTATATATATATAGCCAGATTTTTACTGAACTCGTTCGTTCTTCTTGTCATTCGTTCCGTAGCTCGCATACAGGGACATGCTGAATTGCTGGGATCTCACCCCATCCAATCGACCGTCGTTTGGTGATCTTTCCGCAGTATTTGCGCATTACTTCAAGGAGTGTTCCCCAGTTGACGTGGTAATCAGGGTATGTGCATATGTGAAAGTACAGTGAAAGTACAGTGCATGTGTGAAAGTACACATTTGGGATAATCTGCTCTGCCTATTATAATATCTGAAACGTGAATTGGTGCGATATCTGACATAGTCATTGACTATAAGGAAGAGATTTCTTCATTACGTAGCAGGCTTCTAACTAGAAAGTCTCACCCTATACTTGTCATGTTTGTGCATGCGTCGGTACAGAGTCAATCTTCTACACTTGCCCCATTCCTTCTATTTGAGAGACAGTATCTCGTGTTTGTTTTATCCATGTATATCGTTCTCCCCACTTCCAATCTCATGGTCCTGTCCCGGTTGCCCTATCAGAGAGACAACCAAGGAGAGATCCAGGTCATCAGGGCCGGGTCGTCTCCCGCACCCACTCGCGTGGCTGTGTGTGACGACTACGAGATTATCCCCGGCAGCATAGAGGATATCAACGACCTCAACAACAACAACAACACATCCAGTGACACGCACGACATGAGTGACTTGCAGAGTCTACCTTCGTTCCAGCTGAATATGTTGCCTAGAGCTACAGATGGTTTCAAGGGTAATAGCCAGGCTCTCGCGATACCAGGCTTGCGTGTGGTAGACACCTCCAGTGCTGTGAATTCACCCTCTATGGGCACTTTGAGGACGCACAAACTCACAGACCTTACCGGCGATGGAGCAGCCGATGACAGGCCCTACCGAAGCCTCGATGATGTGCTTGTGCACATAGCTGACAAGAGTAGTCGAGATCATATACTGAGTCATATCACCGACCGAGATCTCGAGGCAGACGATGAGAGTGACGATCCCATGATGTGTGACGAGCGCTCGGGATCTGCGGACACTCGTGGGTATGCAAGTGGTACCGCACTTTCCCAGGATGAGGGTATGGGCAAAATCACGCAGACGATGTCGAACGGAAAAGGCACGCATGGGGATGATAGTTATGCCTCGCATGTTGAGGCAGGCAACCGAGACAGCGGGATCAGTGCGCAGCAAGGCTGTTGAGACTCTCTGCTGTAGCGTGGTGGTGGTACAAACATCCATACCCAAATCCACGCCAACAGACAAACATTCATATATATATATATATATATATATACATAGACAGACTGCTAGGGTCTGTGGCACTATCAATCCGAGTAGGAACACCCAATAGTACCAACACGAAGCAATTTGAAGGACGTATATAGAAGTTTAGATTATTGACGGCAAGTGGTATGCGCCAAACGAGAGGTTTAGTCACAGAATTATAAGCATGCATCGCTCTGCCGTAGTACCTGTCACCGGTGTGATGCAGCCGGTGGTGTGGTGCAGAATTAAAATATTAGAATGCGCACAATTGTCATAGAATGATGTGCGGGACGGAAACCTTGATTCGATTATCTACACCAGATGCGATGCGTCTGTGTGGTATGTTCAGATACCTTGCTATGTTGGCTGTATGGACTTTATAATACTTTCAGGAGCAAAAATAACTTCATTTGAGTACAACTGGGCAATATGTACCTATGGCAATGTTTTTCGTATTTCAATATTTGCCGCCTTTAAGAACTATTGAATGGGATTAAGAACATTAGCCTTTCCCGGTACTCAGAGCGCCTTGTCAAAGACCTTGGTGTACTAAAGGTACTGAAACTACGTTGATTATTCTCCGTAAAACAGTCTGATGCTTCGCTCCTTGAGCGAGTGTGTTATAGTTGTGTGAATAGTATACCGAATTTTGTCTGATAAAATGACAAGCTCTCTCTCATTATAGCTAAAACTTGATTATATACTAGATACGATATTATAGATAATATATACAATATTTTTTGGAATGATGTATACAAAAATCAAAATATTATATACAATATTATATACAATGATATATATAATGTTATACACAATATAATATACAATATATACCATATACAATATTATATACAATATTATATACGAAACATACGATATAGTTTACAATAATATATACAGTATCTTACACAATATATACAATATTATATACAATAACATATACAATTTCTACAGTACAATATAGTCAATCTTATATACCATACTGTACTCAATAGTATATACAAGATTATAAAATAGTGTAAGATATAAATTATTACAACCTATACAATATCATATAGAATAGTATCTGCAATATTATATACAAATTTATGACATACAATGTTCAGAACTGCAGAATATATCTGTAGCGGCCGTGGTAGAGAAGAATGAAACAACGAAACAGTACCAGCATTGACTTGTAGTACAGAATGTTACAGTTCAAATATATACAAGCAGATAGATCGCGTGGTCAGCAAACGTGAGCGTGAAAGTCCATCAGTTTTTTGAAGGCGTTAATTTATTATCGCCGGGCATGTCTGAGTCAGTACCAGTGAAGGGCCGTGTTCTGGGTAGCTGATACGATATACAGCAGCGTAAACCGACATCTTTCCTGACCTTTTTAACGCTCGCCTATTACATCCTCGCGGGTTTAACGTATTGCATATATGTATCGTACCCTTGTGTCGTGTACATGCATCTATCTCTCATATACTTGTGGACGTAGTTTTCGTGTGCGATGAGAAGCAAACCATCCGTAGCCATTTCAGGCCGCCAAGTTGAAATTGTTAAATGGGTCGAACCCCGAAGCGCCAAGAGAAAATCGGGTGTTGATATCCGCGGGATCCGAGACTTTTGCTGTGGAGGTAGTGCCTGCTGCTGTGTGATGGTGTGCAATGCGAAAAAAAAATAAGATCAAAACATCCCCCGTATGCCGGCGTATTGATACTCTGACGTCAGTTTGTTTCGTATACAAAAGTAGCAGGGGGTTTGGAAGCAATTCTGCAGTGTGGTGTTAAGATATGCCATGCGAGACGGTGTGTTGCGTTGGGTGTTTGATCTGTCGCATCAGTGCGTGCTAACGGTCAATATATATTCAGAACGATTTCAAATAACGACAGAAAAAGGCGTTGCATCGGGAGCTTTATGTGGTGGCAGGGTGCATCACGTGCCAGACGAATCCTGAGTAACAGCGTATTCCATGACAACCATGTTGAGTACTCCATTCACTGTGCATCTACAAATACAAGATAGGTCTGGCTAAAGAAATACATATCCTTTTCTAAGCGACAATACATCAGTTAGATTGATTCAAAGTGATTGGTCGTGCCAGTGGAATTCAACATTATGTTGCTTAGTGTGAGAATTTCCAATATACGTGTGAAACTTTATATATACAGATATACGTTTATAAGCATGTGTGTATGTGTGTATCTATGTGCGTATGTGCATGTGTTGTGTGTATCTGTTATCTGTTCGTGAATATATGTATGTGTTTGTGTGTGCTGTATATCTGTGTGTGCATTAATATGTGCATCATATTTTGAGGGCAGCTCATGCGTGTGTAGCTTAAAAGGCAGATGTGGTTTGAAATTTCTCCAGGCATACATACGGCCATGTGAGCTACAGTTTTATATACATTGCATTATAATATCGAACAAACATTAACTTTAGTGACAGTCATGAAGGACAATGGAGTGGTTATCAAAGTCGTGTTTTCAAAATAATTCACAATCGCGAGTACGATTATCGATCGGCACATACCCGATTTGTCCTTCGTGTCATCACTCTTCTCAGAAGAGTACATTTTTCTGTTGTAGAAGATATGAACCGATTAGTGCGGTTTGTGAGAGTTTGTGCATATACATCAGCCAACAGATTGAACTTATCATATCCATTGCTCTGTATATCTGCGAGATGTGTTGCAATGGAGTATGTTTATTCTCTCGACAGTGACGTTTTTGGTCAATCTAGGTGGGACTTCTGCAATTTATATGATGTACCATTCCCTGCTAACGTCAAAACTGTGAACAACTTTTTAAACTATTACATATGTCAGCTAATATACACAAAAATACATGATATGTACATCTGCATGTGGCTAGGTATCTGAAACACGTATCGTGGCCCAGGTCGGATGCAAACACCGATGGACATGGCGCTTAAAATGAGTTGTATAATAGGAGGCTAAGAAATACCGTCTACTGAAATTAATTCTCACATGAGTTGTTGTATGTAAAAGAGCATTCTTCGTGTTTAAACTTTACAACAATCGCAGCTTGAAAGCAGCCACTATAATCATACCTCGCCTGGTAGAAGTCATCATCGCTGTCACTGTCACTGTCGAACATCTTGAACTGCAGACATGATAGCACATTTGGCAGATAAGCAATACGCAGCATATATATATAT